TTAGAATAGTATTATTATTTATATTATTTTTGATGTTAATTATTCACGATGCGTTATTTTGCATTTAATTATATTTTGATGACAGGTACGTGACATGCTTAAGACTATATTCTTATTACATGTAACATTATATTTTTTTTTAAACACTGTATTCCGAAATATATCTTCCTACATTATTCTGAAAAAGTATTTATTATACATAAGTATACTTTTTTGTCATTGAATAGAATAGATTTAGCAATTATATTTATTGTCTTTAATAAAGAATGATAATTAACTAATTATCCTTTATATCTTAATTAGTATTATAATGTATATTTAATTATTAAGAAATAATTATTATATGTACATACATAGAAATTATCAAATTAAACAGAAAAAATCAAACATGTCACGTAAAAAAAATGGTCAAAGTTTACTAATAATTTTAATAATTCACGCATTTGAATAAATTGTCGAAAGAAATTTAACACACATTTGTTATTTTATATAACTTTAAAGAATTAAAATATTTTTATATGAGTGAGTATATATCGTACAATACAACGCAGTAGCTAATATTTGAATTGATTATTAGAAAGTTTATAAATATTGTCCAAGTAATGATAAAAATCTTTATCCGATAGAGAAAACGTATATTTCACTGATAAATTCGACGATGTTGTACTTCAAGAAACTTTCATAATAGTTCACCATAGTTATTTATACATCATTCTCTATATAGAAATTTGAATATACTTTGAGAAGACACGGATGTGCCAATACATTTATTTATATTCTAATTGAGCAAATAAAATAACATTTAATCATGTTGGTTCATTTAGTCATTATGTAACAACAAATAGATTGTCAGTAAAAACATAATGTAATTTAAAAGGAGATATTAACAGGAATATTAAACATTTAGTAAAAGTGTTAATTTTGTATAATTATACAGTTGTATCATACTCAAAATTATACACACGCATACATATATATGTATATGTATATAATCTCTCATTTGCATTCAAATTATGCATAAATGTGCTTCGTCATGTTTATGTTAAAATTAATTCCACAGACAAGTGTTATAACCCAGTATAACAGGCTGAGAGATGATTCTTCAATCATAAGCTTTTAAATAGGAAATTTAATAGTTTTTAGTCAGTCAACATTACAACCGGGTTTATGATAACTGCTCTTCTTTCTTACTTCCATTCCTCGATTGAGAGAATGTTCATTTAAACCTAAGGATTTGACCATGGCTCGACTGCGCCATATCTTGACTGTATAATCATCGCTAGTTGTAACTAACATTTCGGGATCTTTTGGATTAAAGGCTACAGAATTGACAACGTCACAATGAGGAAATTTGGTTAAACAAACTCCATAATGTCTATCCCAAAGATAACCATGTTTATCTTCAGCACCACTACGAACAAAAATATGTTAAAAATTAATAATTATATTAAAATTAAAATATTGATTTAAAAAAAAATGGTATTTAAGAACTAGTAACATTTGTATTCACCTTGCCACATATTCGTTGCATACATCCAAAAATATAAAGAAACATTCATTATTTGGAGTATATGCCTTATGTGCTCTTAACATTGTTCCAACTTGTTTCAATGTTACTAGATCAATTACGTGAATATCTATTTCTTGAGCTATAGGTGGAGGTTGTAACGGATTAGTAATAACATATCCTCTTGGCCAAGGCCTTGTATTGACATATAAATATCTGTAAAATTATTATTGTTCTTTCTATATTTTTTTTACTTACGTAATGCATGAGATTTTACTAAGTGAATTATATATTATTGAGTGTTAGTGTTTATTGAGTTGTTAGCATACACAAATTGTGAAATCAACGATACCTGTGATCTGGAGAAAGACCCATTCCTATTATATGACCATGTAAATCGATCAAATGATCTACTTTGTCAAATCTATCAGCCACCGCTTCATAATCTAACCAGTTAGTGATCAAGTTTTGTCCAGAGTTTTGTCTTTTTCGTTCCCTTTCTCGTTGCGCTATTCTCTCACGAAGTGATGGTCCTGGATCTAATCTTTTTGGAAAACTAACTAATTTGATCCTCTTAAAACCAACTTGATGAGGCGTGTATGTTTTTGATCCAGTTGTAAATATTAAAAATTTCTCTGGATTATTAGATAATTCATCAGAATCACTTTCTTCTGTCATAGATAATTCTGTTGATAACAATATTAGATTCAATAAGACAAAAATTATTCACAAACATTTAATATATGTATATATATTTTTTGTACTTTAAGTTAATTATGTACCTGATTCACTCTCTTCAGTTGATGATGTATGTTGATTTTCATTTTCATTTTCACTTTCATTTCCTCTTTCATTTCCTCTTTCATTTTCTTTCTCATTTTCTCTTTCATTTTCATTTTCATTTTCATTTTCATTTTCATTTTCATTTTCATTTTTATTTTCATTCTCATTTTCATTTTCATTTTCACTATCACTTTCACTATCAGTTTCGTGTACTGTTTTTTCTTTTTGAACTTGTCTATATTCTTTATTATATTGTATAGGACTGGCATATTCAAATCCATCACCAAGCTTTATCCAATTCATAAAGCATCCTTCTATCATACTGTACCTATTTCGATAATTTTACGTTATTTGTTAATATAATTAACTTTTATGCATTATTTTTTATGCAACTAAAAATATATTAATTATGAGATATAAATAGCATTACTGTAATCTAGATGAGGCGTGATGAAGTACAACTGGTTCTTCCTGTGGCGAATCATTAGTTGAAGATGTTGCTACATGATTTTGAGCATTATCTTCTTTGTTATTTGACGATAAGGGTTGATCTTCTGAGTTTTCAGGAGCATAACAATTAGCAACCATAATTGCTCTTATTGAAGAAGCATTTCCATTATAAAACCTATGAGTTATTTATTTACAACATTTTAGTCATTTTTAGATTAACAATGATTGATGCTAATAAATAAAATACATTGTAGTATACATGCATACCTAAACAACTGTGTCATGATGGGCACATATTCACTTGCTGATTCTTGATTAGCCTTATTTAGCCAGAGTACACTTGTACTAACCAGGTGTGCAAGCCAATGCAAATTTCCACTTAAAAGGTAATGTTCACTATACCAAGTACCAAATATGTCATATGGCTTATTCGCTACTCTGCATTGAAGTTGAAAGCCAGCTGTAATGAAAGAAACGATAAGAAAATAGTAAATACAAAGTACAGTAAATTTTTAACGATAAAATCATACAGATTTTTTGTACTTTTTTAAATAGTATTGTCATTTAAACTTACGTGCTACTTTGAAGACAGCTATTTCTCCTGATGTACTATGTGGTGTACCAAAATGTACACCAGAGACAAGGAGCAAAGTATCATTAGAATTAAACTGCGAAAATTGAGTATATTTCCAGCTAAATGTTTTCATATCATTAAGATATATAATATTAACTGGATGTTTACTTTTCCATACCTGTTAATCATTTAAATTAATATGTAAAAAGGAAACAATAATATTTATAATGATTATAAAAATTAATATTATGAAAAAGAAATTCAAATGAACATACAATAATAAATCCATCTTTTGAGCATGTTGCAAACATTTTGCCATTGTGCGAAAAACTAACATGCAGTACTTGATGCGAATGATTATTGAGTATTTCGGTTTCTATTAAGGGAGTATGATATGTTAAGCGCTTAAATTCTTCAAACCAGGAAGTCTTTCCTGAAACATGTATATTTGTTATAAATGGACTTTGTTAGACAAAGTGTATCATAATCATCAGATTTATTTTATTATATATGATAATATATATAGATAAAAATTACTTAAGTATTATAATTATCGAACAAATATTAAACGTAACTTACCTGGCATTATACCAATATCAGAATCTATTTTATAGGTCTGATAAAATAAGTCTCTCCAAAGAAATTCATCTCGGTATACTTTGTTCCATGTTCTACATACTTCTCCTGCTGTTACCAATTCTCTTGGTGTTAAGTATTGAAAAATAGTGAGAAGTATGGAATCTGGCATGTAATACCAATTATCATTTCTTTCTGATATTTGACTTGAATCTTCATTTGTACTAGTTTCTTCGTCAAGACTTTCGACACTATTTCTTCCATTATCTATAATATTTTCATCCACATCCATTCCTAAATGCAGTTCCTTATTTACTGGAACAGCTGATATCTGTCAGTGTTGTCACTCATACTACTCCACCTATGATGTCAGACAAGGAAATGTAGGTACGTGCGCAGTAACGATTTATACCAATTGGTTGAAATTTAAGCGGTAATTTTAAAAAATTTACAAAATTAATTAAATCAATCGAAATTTAATATACTTTAATTATTTTTCATTAAAACTGTAATAATAATTTGATCAGAAATCTTTTGTTTTTATTTTATTTAAGTATTTATTAATTAATATGTATTAAATATTACAAAAGACGAACTTCATGATATACATATGAAAATTATGTAAATTTAAGGCATATGATTACTATATTTGAATGCAATGTTTAAGTTAAGGTATTTAACTATAAAGCAAGTAATACTATATTATAATTAGTTATCCATTTGATTAGAATCATTGACTTCTCTTCTCTCTCTTCTACATTTTAAATTATTAATATAAATTGAAAGAGATAATGTTAAAAAAGATTTCAAATTAATTTTGAATTCGGACAATAGGATTGTTTATTTAAATAATATCGCTTGTATGTATTTATTGTACGATAAAACTAGAAAAGATTATACAAATCAAATCTTAATCCGTAAAATGAATAATATGTAATAATTTGACTTCCAATATTAATAAGTACAACAAACTACTGTAGTACGGGAAGAATAAAATTCTTTTTTCTTTTTTAAGATTAATCTTTTCTTAGTTTTCTTCTTCAATGTAATAACGAAATATTACATTGGTCTTCCCATTCCACGACCTTCGGAATCATTAGAACTTCTTGGATTTTTTATTGTCTCATCTACAGAAAGAATCAAACAGGCAGCTTCGGTTGCAGCAGTTAATGCATTGATTTTTACTACAGCAGGTTCCCAAACACATGCTTCCATATTGTCAGCTATGCCCTCAGAATTAATATCAACGCCGTACCAATAAAGGCCTTTATGATGCTTTTGTCGCAATTTATTTAAAATATTTGTGGCATCAAAACCAGCATTGTCACATAATTGTCTAGATTATAAAAACAAAAGTGATTACATTTTTTGATAGTTATAGCAAATGAAAATTAATTTATATAGAATCTAACCTGGGTATAATTTCCAGAGCTCTAGCAAGTGCACCAATTAACAATTGTTCTTTTCCTGCAATTGTACGGGAATAATCGCGCAAAGTTTTCGATAATTCCATTTCGATACTTCCACCACCGGCAACAATGGCATCATTTTTTACCATACGTCTAACAACCATAATAGCATCGTGAAGAGATCTTTCGGTTTCTTCTAAAAATTGCTCAGCTCCACCACGTAAAACAAATGTACAGGTTTTAGCGTGACGACATTTATGCAGTACATTGAATCTAAAAGCAGACAAAATTTATAAAAATATAAATGATCTTAGAATTTGTATTCAAATAAACGAAAAGGATTATTTATTACCTTTCGCCACCAATTTGCTTTTCTTCAAACAGATCACAATCTCCAAGATCTGAATCTTTGATGTCATGCACAGTAGTCAAAATGTTTCCACCACAAGCTTTCATAATCCTCTTCAAATCTTCATCAGGGACTCTACCAGCGCAAAACATATCTCTATCGGCAAAGTATTGTGTCGCTACATCTCCAATTGGCAACTTAGATAATACTACATTTGCACCAATTTGCCAAATCTTTTCAAGTTTATCATATAAAATTTTCCATTCCGCATCAACAACCTTTTGATATTCTGCAACATTATCTACACGAACTTCGGCATTATCTCTCTCCGCTTTGAGTTCCAATTCGATGTTTAATAAAGCAATTTTGCAATTGGTATAGTTCTTAGGTTGCATTTCAAATCCAGCATATGAAAAAGTTTTCTTGAATGCCACACCTTCGATTAATTCTGAATCCTCTAAAGCTCCGCCGGATACCTATATTTTAAATAAATAATAATAAGTTTGGAGCGAGTTCATTATATTTTATACTTACATGTATTACTAATAAACAAAATTACAATACCTTTTTAAAACCGATCATATTTAAAGGCAATAAATCATCTAACATCAAAACAGCTTGCACGACTAGTTCACTGAAGTACTTTTTCTGCTGATGAATTAACTTTGAACTCATGGAAGTCGCAGCGCATGACCTCAAGTAGGTTTCTTGATTTTTAAGATCATCCTTAATTATTTGAATACTCAATTCATTGATTTTTTCAATCGCAAGATTTAGTGCACGACGTAAAGCTTTAATTACGATACGTGGATGTACACCTTCTTCAATAAATGGTTTCATTTGTTTTAGAAATTCTCCTGTTAATAAAACGACACTAGTTGTACCATCGCCAACCTATACAAAATAAAATATTTTAATTAAATACATTTTAGCTCTTTAAAATTATTTTCACTCATATGTTGGATATTAATGAAGCAATTTCATTACTACAAGAAATTACTAGTCTAGATATCCTATGTTCAATTTTCTCTAAGTAAAGAACAACTGTATTACATTTGTACACTTTTGCTCTATACTTAAATAGAGATAGAATATTACAATAATTCTTGTAATAATATAATTAAATTTACCTCAGCATCTTGAGATTTAGCAATGTCTACCAATGTCTTAGCAGCAGGATGTACAATTTCTAATAATTTCAATATAGTAGCACCATCGTTAGAAATAGTACTTTTAGAGTTTTGATCGACAATAAGTTTATCCATACCACGAGGACCTAATGTGGTCCTCACGGCATCTACGACTATTTGACACGCATTTATATTTGATATTACTTGTTGTTTTCCTTGAGATGCATCTGTGCCTTCTTTCAACAAAATTATTTGAGGTTGCTGAAAATTAAAATTAATGATGTTAAACATAGTATTAATATAAATTATCCTTTTTTTATAATTAACAAAAATTAATATTACTCTCATGTATCTTCCCATCTTTTCTAATTTTTATCCCACCAAATTTTAGTATTGTTTTTCTAATGATCTATTAGATATTCTTTATTAATTCTATACTTGATCGTATCACGCTATGTAAAACAATTGAATGAACAGTTCAGAGTTATTCATTTATTATCTATAAAATATTTAACAACGAAAAACACAAAGTATGAATTTTTATTTCAGAAATTATAAAAGTTTGTAGATATTGTCTTTATACCTTAAAAATGACTATTAATTTTTCTACCGGCTACCATCAGTGGGCGTGAGGCAAAATTAATATCCTTATAAGGTTAAAAGAATTTAATCTTAATAAAATCTCATTAAACTTGTATGTAAGTATAACTATATGATCATAGTCTTAATTATGGAAAAAGAAATATAACAAAAATTTAATTAATTAAGAATGTAAATAGATAAATTGATGGAGAAGAATAATATAAAATATAATGCATGGTTAGCATAGCAAAATGAAGAAATATCAGAATACTTCGTTTCATACAAAAATAAAACTAGCGTCTCACAAATTTATGTTTAATAATAATTTTTATAAAAAATACTAACCATTTTTAAAAAATCCCTTACTTAACTTTTGTTTTTAAATTTATTTATCCAATGTGCTTTTTAATAAAGAATCAGAATCTTGAGTTCGGAACAAATTGTCATAAACTATGTATAAATGAGGAGTACGAGCTTCTACAAAGGAATAAAAATGTAATTCTATTTACATTATCGACAGAGTTGTTAGTCTAGTTATATGTAATTAATTATAAAACATATATAACAATTAATATTGTTGATATTATTTTTTAAATAAAAAATATACTTAAAATTGTTAAATATTATACAATAATATACGTATAATTATTCCATCAATCAGCGGTAAGCAACGATATTAAGATGCATACACATGAGAGAGATAGAGACAGAGAACTAGCCTTTATTGAATACTTGACGAATATTGCGTTCCCACCTTTTATATAGCAGTTCGAATTTGCTTGATACTCTGTAAGGTGTAAAAAGAATTAAATATTAAAATAAAACTGATCTATATATATTTACTCTATAATATACTATATATATATTTAATTATAATTTATATGAAAATTAAAAACTTAATAGAGCGTACAAAAAATTGACAATTGTTATATAACAAAAATTGTAATAAGAACATAATGAATAAAGTTTTTTAATAAATAAATACAATTTTTTAAGTTATTTTACTTATAACAAAGTAAGTGAAAACAAAGGAAAATAATAATCTTGTTAAACAATTATTAAATACAATAAAAAGTAACAAAATGTGTTGCTGTATTTTTCTTAGGTTGACATTGTGTTATTACTACATATATACATATATACATATATTATTTGTATTTACATAAAAACAAATTCTGTATCCATTTTAATATATGAATATGTGTTACACTTATTACTTAATTTTTTTTAATAGGAAAGTAAAAGAAATAAAAAAATGCATTCAATGATTTCCCTTATAGATTTCGAAATTACCTATTAGATTTGGAATAAAAATATGAAATAAAATATATTTCTTAATAAGCATATTTAATAGCTCAAATTTCGTGTATGAGTGGTAAGATAAATTTTCTAAAGGTATACTGTTACGCGACATTACCCGGGATCAAGACCCACCTACACATTTATTTTTAATCATTGCCAGGTGGTAAAATGTCGCTGTGTATGCACGCACGCGTATATATATATAGAAGGTTTACTAAAAATCTTCGCATGTACGTTTTCGTTTTGTAGAGTAGCGTCAGGGTTGCGTCAGAGTTTCGTTAGAGTTTTGGTAGGGTTTGATTTAGGGTTAAATTCAGAATTTTTTTTTAGTAAAATGACTTTTGAGACATCCTATATATATAAATATACAGATTTCTGTCTGATGATACATCGTTCAGCGATTTAACCGCAAGTCGTCGGAGTAGAACGTGAGCTCATCGATTACGTTGATGACTTTGTGCTCTTTTTTTATTTTACTTTTTTATTTCGATGCACAGTTCGCTTCTCTATGATTCTGTTCTCAACCATATTATTATTATTTTTTGATTATTACAAAAGAAAAAAAAACACTGTTAAATCGTGTTTTCAATCAAGCTGTTCATCTTTTTCTATCTCCTCCTATTAAATTTGTCTCTAAGTGCTAATTTGTTGCTTCTGACAATTAATCGTTATAATTACGAGGTAACGAACACTTTTTATTATAATTTAACATCCACATATGTAACAAGAAATAATATATTTACTTTGTTAATATATAGTTAACATAAGTTAAATTAACGCATTCTTTTGTGCGGGAAGTATCACTTCTTTGATATTCTATGTTTATTAACAGAAATAAATAAATGATTTAACATATATACAAGAAAAATGTTGTACAATGGTGTAGATAACAAGGAATACATTCTGTTTCTGTTAATTTTTAATTAATAATTTGAATGCTTTTGCCTGATTAATTGTTCAAAATCTACGATAATGAATTAGATCGGTTTTCTGGCAATCTTTCGGAATCTGATAAGTGACCTTAAAGTCAGTGCGAATGCGCAAAATTTTACCCCCACCTATTATCCACGAGCCAATGACAAATCGATATATTCGAAATTTTTACGTGAAAGCTCGAAGCTTGAACTATTCTTATCGGTAGTAGCTACTACGGAACTCACGACGAGTGGTTATGTTCATAGATGTATTGTGAGTACTTTAATTCTGAAAAGTGAACACTTTTAAGGACCTTTCACAAATTTATTTATAATCTGTTCTTTCATAATTAATCATTTAATTGAATTTTCATTCAACGTAGAAGCAAACAAATTTGTTATCGTTATCCTTGTTCATGTTTCATTATTTTATAAGATGATAAACAACGAATTTTATACATTATAATTTATTAAAACAAATTATTAATATAATTGTATGTATTTATCTACTGTTCTTATTTATATATATTTTTACAAATAATTTTACTATAACAGAATAACACAAGATAATAATTTTTCATAATTATATCTGATCTATTAAATATGATAACGATTATGTCACGATATATCTTATCTTATAATAAAGAAAAATATTACTACTGTGGTTTTTATATTTAATTAATTAAAACATATTTATCAGATAATATACTTTGATATTGAACAAAATTTATTAGAAAGAAGAAGATCGCAAAGAAGCGAGTCTCGTTTGAAGTAGGTCAAGTACAGTTTCGCTCTTTAAAAATGTATGTCATGTGTAGAAAAACGCTTTAAAGCCGTCTATCAGATTTTATATATTTAGAATGGGAAAAAAATAAAAAAAAAAAAAGAAGAAAAAATAATACGAGACGGGTGCTAGCTTTTGCGTAATCTATAAACCCAGTGTAAACGTTTTTTTGTCTTAAAATAAACAGTAAATATTAGTGAGATGAGCGTTTTTAATTTAATCTTCAAGCTTGCTAATGAATAATTTATTATATACCGCGAAACAACTGACGATGTGAAAACGAATAAATAAATTTTTCACATATAACATCGATAAAAAAAATAAATAAACATATATATTTTCTTTAAAAATGATTAATCAAGAAAATAAGAATGTAAAATTGCAGGCTGAGAAAGGATTAAATACCTGCAGTAGGGATACCTGCAGAATACAAACAGAAGACTTATCCGAATCAAGTTCAATAGAATCGAGTTTGTTAGAAAATATGAAGACAGTATGGGTGATTGGTGGTCCTGGCTGTGGAAAAGGAACCCAGTGCGATCGAATAATCAAAAAATATGGATTTTTACATTTGAGCAGCGGTGATCTTTTGCGAGATGAAGTAGCAAGCGGTAGTCCTAGAGGAGCTTCGCTACAGGAATTAATGTCGAAAGGGTTGTTCGTGCCAACGGTAAAAGATATTTGGTTATTTATTCATTCGCGCGCGCGACTGCTTAATTTCAATAAAAAATTATTATTCGATTTAATGATGAAAATATAGAAAGAATGATCTATTTTTTCAGTAGGATATTGTGTTGGATCTTATAAAGGAAAAGATGGAAAAAGCTCGTATCGAAGGTACCACCAAAACAGGTTTCCTTATAGATGGATATCCTCGTGAATTGGAGCAAGGAATCCTTTTTGAAAAAAATGTAAGATATCAATATCCTTTTTTTCTTTCAAATTAATAATATTCATTTAATTAATAGGTTTGTCCGGTTGATCTCATTTTATTTTTTGATGTATCTAATGAGACGATGACCAAAAGGCTTCTCGGTCGTGCCGCAGTATCTCAAAGAGCTGACGATAATGCTGAAACCATTAAGAAAAGGATCGAAATATTTAATCAAAAGAATGGCGAAATTGTAAAAAATTATGAGGACAAAGTTGTCAGGGTATGGTTTCATTTTTTTTTAACATTTTATATATGCGCGGATTATTTTTCACATAGATTATTTCTGACAATTTTTTGAAGTACATATGATACCATTTAAAAGTCACATAACACATTCGAATAATCTTTATTATATATTTGATTTAATCAAATGTTTCCAGATTAACGCTGAAGGAACCGTCGATGAAATATTCGATGAAGCTTGTAAAGCGCTCGATCGTTTGTTGGCTTAATGTTTTGGCAAAGCCCACAACCTTTGTGAACTTTTCTCAAGCATTGCCTAATTGTCTGTCACGTCCAAAAGAGATTTAAATTTTTAGATAGATATATTAAGCAATACGAAGTGTGTGATCATAACTTTGACATTATGTACCTGTCCTAAAAATGAAAAAATTACTTGGATTAGTATGACGTAATGGAAATTTTTATTTCATTCTTTCTCGTCTAAGTTCGAGAACATTCGGTATTTTTACGGTTTATTTTAGGAAATCAACTTTACGCAACGCTTTCTTATACGTTTTATTCATTAAATATTAACAAAATATGAACTTTAGATTGTTAATTCCTAGAATGAGGAGTCTTAAGGAAATAATTTATTTTACAATTGATTTTATAATTGATTTTATGGTCAATTTTTTGTGCACAAGAAAATTATTCCGACTAACTCATGCCTACTACTATTATAATGGAAAATAATTAATTTCATTATTTCTGTAAATAATATAACGATTTAATCGAGCAATATTATACTATTAAGCTTTCCACGCCATGATTTCAATCGATGCTATGAATGCACAATAAATTGTACATTGGAATTATTTCTGAAGTCTAGTTTATTTTATTGATTATCGATCAGATGATTATGTAAGCTTTTTTTTCATTAGATAGTACACATCCATTTTAAATCATATGTACTTTATTACCACCACAAGTACGATCTCTTTTGATAGTTTTAATTCTAATTGTGTTGCATTGTTAGTTCATCAACTTTAACCGGATGTTCGTGTGACATTTCTTTCCTTTTTTTAATCGCAGGAAAATTTATTTCATTCTACGCGATATCACATTTCGAAGTACCATCTTCAGCTGATCTTTATAAAAATTTTACTTGTCGAATTTGTAATTTATAAAAATGAATTACTTCATGACATTTTCTGTTTTATTTTTAACATATTTCTTATTAGATTTAAGTAACTGCGATCGTTGTTGTACTATCAATTTCCGAAAATTACCATCGTATAAATTGATTCGTATCGGAGTACGTTCGAATGAAACAATTATTTCAAGAAAAATAGTTCATCATTTACACGAGTGCAAAGAATTTGCTGCATCGAGAAAAGCATTGGCATTCAACTTTGGATTAAATATATATTTAAGTGGTGAGAGAATATGAAAGTATTGTTATATATAAAAAAAAATTGTTTTTTTTAATTATTTTGTTTTAGTAAAATTTTACTTTTTTATTTTACCCTTACTTTTTAAAATTAATTAAGGAAGAACCAATAAAGGAAGGCATTTGAGAAATCTGTGCCAGGCTTTACAATGTCCAGAAATATATAATTCTTCGTCACTGATAAGGGACAAGAAATATCGGTATTACAGCATGTATCCTAATAACATCGATTCTGGTAATTAAAAAAAAACAATTATAAATAAAAAGTAAGATTTTTTTGTTATACAAAAATATAAAATAATATTTTTTAGGAGGAGGCACAATAGTTTGCGTACCAAAAGCAGGATTATTTATATTATCGAATAACAATTTAAATTATACTCAAGCACAAATATCTTGTCAAAAATTAAACGGATCACTTGCGCATGTGATAAGCGAGGAACGTATGAATGGCTTGGCTAAATTTCTTTCACATAAGATTTCAAGCTACGTTGGTTTAAGTAACAACGATGATGAAGAAATTTGGAAAAATTCGTTTGGTTATAATCCACTTATTTTTCATCAATTGTTATTTAATAAACTTCGAAAATGATATAAATAATATTAATCGATGATAATCCTTAACGATCTACGCTGATTTTTTAATTTAATCATATAATATAAACAAATATTAGTTAAATTTAGAGAAAAAAAATGCGTAACCTTTCGTTTATTTTATAACATATTTAGAATTTTTGTAAGAATTACAAGAGATTCATTTTAATTTCATTATTATTACAGATGAACCTCTATCGTGTTTTAATTACCATGCATGGGGCACAGGAGAACCATCTAATTCAAAAGGATGCGTTGCTATTCTTACATCCTCATCTAATTCGCATGCTACATCTTTTTGGAAAGTTACACCTTGTTACGTTTTGTTACCTTACATATGTGAAATTTTTCCAAGATATCAATAAATAAAGATATAATATTATTAACGAATTATATATATATGCGAGTAATTTTTGTAGAAGGATAAATAAAATTCGAGTCTACTTATGTACAGATATTTAATCTACGACTACAAGAATCTTTAGTGTTATACTTAGAGAACTAGAATATTTACAAATATGAATTAAAACAACATAACTGTATACGTGCGCACGATTGACAGAAAACAAGAAGAAAAATATAACTCTCATTCATTGTTGCTTATGTATATGAATGCGTTTTTGTGTGTTGTATATTTGTTGTGTATATATTTATATATATGTATGTATATATATATATGTACATATTTCTAATTTAATAATTTTAAAAATGCTCTTCTTGGATTTTTTAATTCTATGTTTTGTAAAGCTTGCGATCTTAAAACTATTAATTACATCTACACACACTGCCTTTAACAAACTGTAACGTAACATTTATACTGTGTCTTAAATTGCTTTGTTATTTAAATAATGCTTTTAGTAGGACTCTAAAAAACATGTTAATAATAAAACATGTATGATATATAAATGATGTCTCACAATGACATTCGATGGAAAGCAACAATAAGAAACGGATTATGTAATAAAAAAATATATGTATAGGTACGTATATGCATATATGCATACAACACAAATTTCTTGTATATATATATTATGAGCCATTATTTTATGTATGACGCCAGATGAAGATTAAAATATATATGTGGATTTTTGTAACTACAATAAATCTTCATTTATCATTGTCTAATTCATATTACATTTTAATTCTGAATTCTGTTTAAAAGATGCAATCCAGTTGCATATTTCTATTCAAACTAAATTCTTCTTAGAATGTAATATTTCAATATTACTGTTTCAAGACTAAGCCAACCATAGAAGAATAAATATATGCTACTAGTTGTAATATCGTTCTAATTATTAAAATTTATTATAGATCTGTTAATTGGACGCTTTTGATAAATGAAGTTCTACTGTATTTATACAAAGCAGTCAAATGAAAGTTCATTTCTATTATTTTATAGAAAATGTGTTCTAAATAAAATTAATATCAATGTGAGAAAAAGTATTATGTTTCATATTTTATGCAATGAATACAAAATCTAAAAGATCTTTCATTTGACGATGCTTTTTTTTTGTATTATTTATGTCCAATAAAATATCTGTTTTTTTAACATAGACTTAAATTACATTAATATAATCTATTAATTTTTTCTATTATTTTGTGTTAAATATTAATAATTATTATAAAACAAACAAAATAGGTAAAATAACACATACAATATATATATATATATATGAAAAATTTAAAATATTAATATTAATATATGTGCAAAAAAATAAGTTTTAAAGTATCTAGTAAAAGTATATCATACAGAAATGTAATCAGAGCTTTGATATAAAGATTGTATAAAGATTTATATAAACAGGATTTTTTTGTAGTTATTCGCTGCTCATGTGCTTTATATATAAATAATTCATTAACACATGAAAAGTATTGGTCCATTCTTATGTAAAAGGTACCTTTATAATATTTTAGGCAAATATATACTAGTGCATTATAAATTTGAGCATTTTTATGCTGTCTATAAATGAATTAGGCAATATTTTGTGCCAAATGAACTTATTTAAAAAAATAAAATGCAACTACATAAACAAAATTTAATATATGTGTACATTCAGAAAAACAAATATGGTTATGGCACGCAATAACATCATTATATTATTTTAGAATGATGAAATGAATGGACCATATAGTTTATAATACATAGTACAAGAGTAGTTTATCCATTGGAGTAATAATCATTGTTAAATATTTGCATAAATTTGTTTGTTTAGGAAGCAAAAGCATGCTGACTTTTATATATTTAACTTTGTGATACATTTGATTCAAAGAAATAAATTTTTATTGAATATTCATGCGAAAAGTATATCTGTCTATTAGTAAATAGCTCTACAAAAAATAAGAAAAGCTTTTTAAATTTTGCTTAAAACTATTATTGTCCTGTGATAAATCTACGAGAATAAGGAAAAATGATGAAACTATTAGCAGAAATAATGATCTTAGAGGGGATGACATTTGTTTGTTTAAAAGCTAGATGAGAAAACGACTTGACTTGATTATTATGCAGTGAGATATAAAAGTATAAAACGATTTGTTTATGGTGCGATATACACATATTTTGTTGTTTTTCAATAAATGACGAGTTTCAAAGTGTTAGATTATTTCTTTTTTTTTCATAAGCATAGTCAACATTATATGCTTGTTAAGAAGACTTAGTAAAAATATTAATCACTATTGTACATTTACATAGTTAGCACAAAGTAGGATGATAAAGTACTAGTACTATTTTTTTTCCAAATAGGATACATTTTAATAACAATTGTCTCATTGGGTTTATGGCTTCATGATTCTATCTATTATATAATTAAAATGATTTTTTCCATAAATTTTTTTTTTAAATCTATTTTACGAGACAAAACTGTATATTTTTAATAAGTTATTGATATATGTTCCTACAATATATTTTACAAAGATAATTTATATTTTCTTGCCATTGTTAATATGCAGTTCATAGCGTGTAATCGTAGCGATTAAATATGCGCAGTAAAATAGTTTATAATAAGAAAAGCTTGCAAGCATGTCATTGAAATTTGTTTGCACATGTTATATTTCTATCATGTTTCATTTGTTAATGAAAAGCGATAAGCTTACACATTGCATTATTATAATTCGGGACGGATCGCATAGAAAAAAATACATCGCGTTCCAAGTGCCATTTTTCACAACTCTATAATAATGCATGTGCAATTAGATGAACACATTTTTTATTTTATTTTCTTTTAATTAGATATTTTATTTATTGCTTAAATAAGGAATGTGCGTATATGTATAAGTATAGCTATTCTATGTCTTTGTTTAGAAATATATAAACTTTTTGGAATGCTTTTAAAACTTTCATGCAGCATTAGGCAATATTATATGTGTAGGATGAAGCAAAATTAGAATAATTAATATGAACAAGACGAGTAGCCCTAAACCCGAAAGACTTCGATCTTACCAAAAGTAATTTTTGTTAATATACAGGAATTAATATAAGCAATCATTTGTTGCTTGCCGACAAATTTCGATAACTATATAGATCAATCATGTGCGCATTAAGTATAAAAAAGAAATGTATGCGTCACAATATTTATATTTCATAATACAATTTGCATTAACAGTCACATTTATGATCACGAATATTGATTTTATGTATTTTGATATTTACGGTACATAATTTAGAAAAATTTGATTTATCAGACTAGAATTTTTACAATAAATTGTTTAATTCAAATTGAAAATATTGCAAGAAATAATGTTTTCTAATGTGGAAATATACAATACTAATCTGCTTTGCTCGAATCATCAGTTAGAATTTATATAACGAATATTTATATAAAAAATTAAATATTCTATCTAGGTCGTGTTTGTGCTATAAGTACATTCACTTAAAATTTTGCTCTTTTAAGAAAATAAAAAATTTGTCAAATGTTCAACGTTTTCATAATAATGCCAAACATAGCTTCTAATTTGTTTCTCTACACAAGTATTAAATAACTTTCAATTCATTCCCTGTGTGTGATAGATTCTTTTTTTCTCATTGTTTACTACCTCATTCATATGTGTATACTACAAATTTGTGATAGATTTGTATATCACTTACTTTATTAGCACCATTTGAAAAGCAATACTTAAAAAATGACACATTCAATTTTTGGATCTAATGTATCCACAAACTAGCTCACAACTTGTTATTTGTAACATATATGGTTATGAGTTTCCAGATAGGTGTTTGTATCTCTGTGTATGAATGGAGGCACCTCACAAATGCAGTGAACAGAGTAGTGTATATTGGCACTCACGAATGAATAAACTTACTATGAATTATTATCATCATATGAATATTGCGAGGCATCTATTAGATGGACAAAAATCACATTATATTCAATTAAACAACTGTTTTAAGTACTTTAGTTTCTCTTCTTTGATAGCTAAAACTTTAATTGCTATAACGAGACAATTTTTGGTATTTCTTTAAAACGATAAAAGTTTTTCTTGTTAATATGTTACTAATATATTTAAAACATCACAATTAAGAAAAAAAAGTATCGACAAAATAAAAACAAAAAAGTAAAAAAAAAATCAATCTGGCGGATGTTGTGAGATCACACGAAATATCAGATTATGTAAAGACAAAAAAAACAATGAATATTTACGGTTAAAAAATCTTAGACGGAATGTCGCATTTATAGCCAAAAATAGGCAAATACTGTTACTGCATTGGTGGAGCAAACGAAAAAAATGACACCACCAAAATCAATAAATATATAACAACCACGATAATAGTACTAGTAATAATTATGCTATTAATAGTATTAGTACTTCGTTATTTGCAACATTATGACACAAACAACAAAATATTTATAAATTAAAAACAAAATATTATAATTATAAAAATACGTTTCAGGAAATACGCATCAATTTTTAGATATTAAAAAGTTTCAAACTTTGTTATTCATTGAAGCATTTGCCATAAGTGGTACAAGCTGCTCTGAAAGTTGTTGTACAGTTTGCTGCAATAGTGCCTGTTTTTCTTCCAGCATGGCAACCTTTATATAGATAAGTCAATATTGATAAAATAATAATTGATTTAAATGATTCAGCATTTTTAACGATGTAGTTGTTAATATAAACAAATATTTCGTAAGAAAAATTATATATTTAAAAATTGTATATATGATGAAATATTTACCCTTTCCAGCAGTTGACTATAAAGATGGTACGGAACAAAGGCCAAAGTTCCAGGTGTTGTTACAGTTCCATGATCCGTTGTATCTGACTTTCTTTCCTTTTCTTTTTGTTTATCTTCACACTCTGTTTCTTGTTTAGCAGCAGCATCGATATTTCTAAATGATACCATTAATCTGTTACATTGTATAAAATATTTTAACATAAGTCTTAAATAAAAGATTTAATAATAATAATAACTCTTGTATTTATAAATGTACCGTGAGACAGTGCTTTCTCTCTTAATTTCCGGTTTATCAACCCGATCGACCGAACCGACTTTTCTCCTTTCTAACTGATTCATTTTTAATTCTTCTACCTAAATGACAAATAAATAATGTCAAGAATACGGAATAACAAAGATGTTTTTTTTTAAATATAAATATAAATTTTTAATTACCCAAGGTGCCTTCTTCCTTGCTTTTGCTGACAGTTTCTCACCTTCATCTTCCCTTAACGAGTCTGTTTCTTCAGTATTTCCGTTCGATAAATTATCTTCCTAAACACGAATAATTTTCAATAAAAAAAAGTTTATTAGAAACATAAATATCATGTGCTATTGAATAGAATGTTAAATACCATAGTGGGATTTATTGTTGTATTAAGTATTGTGGTTGCTGTTGTTGTAGTTCCAGTAGTATGATGTCGTAAATGTTGAGAGGAAGGCAAACGACGTCGAGGTGCTTTTGCACGTGAAGCTGTCAAATGCGAAAGTGGCGCCCCTTCACCTCTCTCCACTCCATCTAACTCTTCTCCTAGCGCTATGCTTGGATTTCCATTGCCATTATTACTTCCAGCATCACTTATAAAATGTTTCAAATTAGAAATAAGTGAAGGATTGCTCATTGGTTTCTTCTCCCCGCTTCCTCCACCACTACTTCCACCCCCTCCACCAACATTAGACAAGGCTAAAGTTGAAGATGTAGAAGACGATGTTATCAATTTTTTAGTAGTTTCCACCATGTTACTAAAATGATCTGAAAAATAGGAGTAATTATTGACTTAAGATATGTTGTATAATGTATTTTTTTTTTTAGAAGATATATAAGCATCATACTTATTACATATAAAATAAATAGATATACCTGTACGTAAATTTTTGGGATCTAAACTTTTCCTAGCATGTGCTTTCTCACTTTTTTTTAGTTGATGAGCATGTTTCGCAACAGATTTAGAAGTCAGTTGACCTGCTTCGTGCCACTGTTCTTGATCTTGATGATCATTCTTAACCCCAATAACTTCGACAAAATTATCTGGAAATAATCCTATTTGTCCTCTTAATTCTCCTTTCCACCAACCCTTTAATAACAACAATTAAGTATTATTTCATATTCTTCTCATTTGTTATTAGATATACATTTTTTAACAAGAACTTACTTTATCCGGTGCATCTCTGGAAAGCAATGCAATTATTTCTCCTTCAACCAATGTTAATTCATCTTCATTAGCTGCCTCGTACGCGTACAGAACTCTACAGTATTCTTTCTTGTCTTTCTTGTGCTTATCTTCTTCTTCATAACTTAGATGTACAAAATTCGAAGGGAAGACACCAACTCTCCCTCTAAGTCTACCTCTCCACCATCCTTCCTCTACTTCACCCAAGAATTCTATGGAATCTTGAGGTACAAGAGTTAATTCATCTTCGTTACAAGGTTCATAACTGTATAGAACTTTACACCACCTCCTTCCAGATCCCCCATTACGTAAAGTAACTTCTTCTGGTTTTGTACTACTAACAGCTTCAGTTGTGCTCGCTCCACTTGTCGGAGATGGATCCAATACCTATCACAATATATAAAAAATAATATATAGTACAATAAAGACTTCTAACAAACTTATAATAATAAAGTTATAGGAAGTATAATGCATACCTTAACAAAATTATCAGGGAACATGCCACGCTTATCTCTTAAAGTACCTTCCCACCAACCACCCAACATCACTTTTATTTCTCTAATTATATCTCCTTTTCTGAGAGTTAATTCGTCAGGTTCCCTAGCTATATAATTATATTCTACAATCGCCTCCATCTTTCATTTATAGTTTATAATTCATGAATATATTAGGTCTTGCAATCTTATATCTGAAAGTACAATTAATTGATCTAAATACCGATTAAAAGAACAAAAAAATGTATCGAAATACATAACAATAGTAAGAGAAAAAATGTTTAATATTTTAAATATTCGTTCACATAATACTTAAAATGTTCGTTATAATTTTCCTTCGATTAGATTCGTATTATTTAAAAAGAATAAAGATAGAAGAAAATAAATCTGTAATAAAATAACAATGCTTGGTAAAGGAATAAACACGCGTGACAATAGGTAGCATACGTATAATTAGGACGAGATGCCTGTCCGAGGTAATCATTCATCTATCGATCATTCTACAGTCTTCATAGTAACGTGCAAACTTACGAGCATCATCGTAAGATAATGTTTAGAAAAGTAGATGTTAGGATCGAAAAATTTAGGCGTATCCCAAACTCGATTGACAGCCCGACGAATTTGTCATAGTAGCCATCTTGGACTTAGGGAACTCGGGGTCAACTTCAAGATGCAATCTGGGTAAATCGCGCGTGCCAACTTCATTGGTGGTGATCGAATAACGCGCCAAATCATAATCTATACCGGTTCGCTGCTAACATCTTAAAAGATTTTGCTTTTATAAAGAAAACTTGTTGAATAATATCAATAGATATTGTTATATTCGTTCTTATGTGTTATCGAAAATATACCACGATTAAGAAAGGTAAAGAAATATTATTATATTTATTATTGTCTTTAAAAGAATGTTCCTTATCTTTAAAAACTTGACTAGATATACTTACTTTCTCACTATCGTTTTATGTATCGAACTTGTTAATTATTGTCAACGAGACCCTGCAAGTCTCTTAATACAACTGTCTCTATTCCGATAACAATACATTATTCCTCGTACACTCGATGATTCATACTTGTAATCGATCTACTCTTATCAGAAAGACCTTACACGTATTGTTAATGTGTGAGGAATATCAATGGTCCTTGCTTAGTCTACCGTTGTTCGTATATATAGTAAGTTTCTATTTTATTCGATTGTATCATCTTCTGTATTCGAAAAGTCTTCTATTAAGCATCTTATAAATTATTCATTCATTTCCAAAGAATTCAAGGAAGCACGATTTATCGTTTATAAATATTTTCATACGAAAGCAAAAATATTCTTATTTTTTTTATACGTACGTGTGAAGTTTTTCAAGAACGCGTCTTATCGTTAGCCTCGCTTTCTGATACGAAAAGTGCGGTAAAATTTGAATTTAAATATATAATCAGTTTTCTTTAATATTTTTACTTCTGCTTAATAATAGTATATATATGTATATATAATAGTCAAGTATCATAGGTAAAAAGTGTGCATCTTTATTATTTATTACTGATTCACACATTAAATTGTACAATCGTTTCTACAAACATAAAGATTTACGAATATACATCGCGAAACGACGATGTGTGTCGAAAATTGTTGAGGTAACGAGCGCAACATAGTCCTATTGTTCTTGAACTTAATACTAATCTCTTTCTAATAAAGACAATATAAAAAAAAGAGTATTACATTACTACGTGCGTCGTTTAAAATAAAATTACAGAACTATTTTTCTTCTGAATAAATAAGAAAATCCACAATAATGCGAAAGTCTTTCCTTTGGGGAGGATTAAAAATAGGACAAGAAATCATTGAAAAAGGCTTTCTTTTTTCTAAAGCGATGCGCAAGAAGATTGTTAACTCTTACTCCGTAAACGTTTTTTCCTATTTTTACGTTTAACACAAACCATAAACAGGGGTCATTTATTTCCGACATATTTTTTCGCAGGATTAAAAGTTTTTGAAAACGTTCATTTATAGTATCTTTTAAAAACTTCTCAATTGAGATTAGACTACGAGATTTAAGCGATCATTTGTTTAAATATGCGAAGCACAAATTCTCCGAACCATTTTAAAATTTATTCGGACACAAAAAACCCCCATTTGCGGATATATTAAAAGATTTATTTAAAGTTTGAATAATAATAAAAGGAAATAAACGTGTATATATATATATAAGGTTTTCTAAGAAATTTCTACTCACGAAGACCAGCTTCGAAGAAGAAACGAAATGTCTTGGTAAGAACAGTAAGAAAGGAGGAAAACGATCCAGCGTTTTTTTTTTTACAACCAAAAAAATAAAACATAAGCTGTCCTACCGGCGCAAACTCTTACAAATTGACATCTCTCTTTATCTCTTTCTCTCTTTTACTCCTTCCCTATTTGTTTTCTCTCTCTTTTTCTATATCATTTTGTTCTGTGATCTCTTTATATTTCTTACTTATAAGCGCGTTTAAAAATCGCATTTCTTGCTTTTTCAAAATGGCGGTAACATAAGTTGACGAATAAATGAGCAGAAGAACGTGTTTTTGATATCTACTCAATAATAATAATTAGGAGTAAAGAATTCTAATTCTTACTCAAGACTTTATCGATTATCAATTATTATCGATAGGTTGTAAGTGATTACTACTACGAGAAAGAGCGTAAAGGCTGTGACTTTATCAAACAACGGCCAAAAGAACCGAACTTCTGTTACGTTTGCTTTTTTCCCTTCCTTTCCTTTTTCCTATCTTTCTTTCTCTTTTTATTTATATAAATCTCCTCTATCGCGAGTTATAAACATATAAAAGCAACAAATATATACGACTGTATCGTGTACACGCACATATGTGTGTGTATGTATATATATATACTCCTTTAATGCAAATAGTACAAAGCCTATAATCGTAATCGTTACGCTTTTGCATTGATATTGCGGATGCGGCTTCAAATGAATGCTATATTTATATTGAAATTTATCGGGGAAAAAAATCCTAGCTCAATATTTATAAATCTTTACTTGCTTGTTATGAATTCGATCGATCGAGGATCACGCTCATATTCTTTTTTATTTTTTTAACAATATCAGTACTCTACCTTTGCAACAACGTGCAAACTCGTGCTCGTAATCTTTTCAGTCAATTTATTCATTTCTTTTTCTCTTTTTTTTTTTTTTTTTACATAAGGTCAAGTGCAAAGAAATGTGTCTGTGTGTTGTGTGTGTGCGCGCGTAGGTGGTATGTATAATTCGTAATCGCTGGTACGAAATATTTTTGCTGCGAAAAAATCGTAACTTTTGGTCAATTCTTTTTTCTCTCATTCTCTTTTTTTTTTGCTTTTTCTTTTTTAAATTTTCTTTACTACAAACAGCTATTTTCTTATTTCGTCTTATACTTTCTCATCCTCTTTCTTTCTTTCTGTCTGTCTCTCTCTCTCTCTCTCTCTCTCCTCCTCCTCTTTCTTTTTCTCTCATTATCTTCATCTTTCTCTCTTCTTCTCGTCTTAATAATCGTTGGTAGGCACAATAAAGGCGTATTTATCATTTTTCTTGTTAGCTTTTTAAACGAAGATCGCGAACAGGAAGTGCGTGTTATCATCTTAACGTTATTTAAGAATTTCTATGCTACTACGAAAATGCGATTGTGCGGATTAATTAATTTACGCATCATCATAATCACTAGAACGTGCTTCATAATAATACGTTTATTGACGATTGTAAATTATCTCCTAATTTATTTATTTATTTACTTAATTAAGTCATTAATTCATTTTACTTAATTATTTCTTTTCTTCCTTTTGAGTACATTTTCTCTTAAAGGACAATGCAATTCTAGTGCCGGCGTTCGCGATTGTCGATCTCAATCGTCGTTCTCCGTTATTATTTTTTCTTTCTCATTACACATTATTTTCCTCTTTTTTTTCGACGTAAACTAAGAAAAAATTTTATTTTCTTTCCTCTCGCCATCGACGTCGTACTAATTGTTAAACAATTATTCGAAAAAAGGACGTATTCGAGTATCTATTCGACTAAAATTAATGATAATAATAATTATAATAATAATAATAATAATAATAATGATAATGATAATAATCATGAACAACAATAATAGTAGTGAATATTTCCTGTTATCTATTCGCCATTACTTTGCTTGTGTCATCCAGTTTGCATTCGAATACCTCATCGATATTATATTAAGATGACAAAATTGCACTTTTTCATTATTTAAATACTTTAATATACACGTAAGCATGATATTTAAATTGTCAGAAATATTAAAATAAGTCGAATGCAAATTGAATGATACAGCAAAAATAGTAACAGGCAAATACTAGAAAAGATCCCTAATTATAATAATAATAATAATAATAATTTATATCAAATATTGCACCATATATTCCTCTCCCCCGCTACCTGGTCTTTAACTTTGTACAAAAAGACTACACAAACCATATTAAACGATTGTTATTTTCAAAAACGAGAGTTCTCGAATATTTCGTATCAAGGTAGAAAACTTACGGATTTATTCTAACTTATTGTTTGATCATTGTTATAAAATAAAAAATGAAAATAAAACAAAATGGTCGAGAACTTTCATTTTTTTCGATGGACGAATAATGCAACACGAAAAGTTCACTGGATTTATCGCAGTTCTCCTTTGCTGTTATTGTTGCTTATACTGATTTTTGTTGTTGTTCATTTTTTTCTCTCCCTTTCTTCTTATCTTTTTTTCTTTCAATGATTATCAAAGCGCTTCAATCAAATATCGCACGTAGATAGTGGCACGTAATTGGACGCCGTAGACAGCGTATCAGAACATACATTTTCTTATTCTCTTTTTATTTTTTTATTTCTTTCTTTCTCTCGAATAAAAATTGTAATACGCTAAATTTCTAACTAAAATCATTCGATAATTTTGCTATCAACCCCATTTTTTGGTTTAAGTATCATTTCAAGCGTACCAAAAGCGAAAGCTACTATTTCTTATGAACACCAAGAATTGTAACGAAATGATCATATATATGTTCAGGTTAATTGGAACGATCGTGCGAAATCATATACGACAAGTTAGGAAATTTTTATCTAAAAACTTCCGAAATAAGAAATCATTATCGTATTTGTTCTATTATCGTCACAGTTGATACATCTACTTAATCATAAGTGTTGTTTCTTCTCTTTCTTCTTCTTCTTCTTTTTTTTTAGTCATCTTGCAGAGGAAACTTTTCTTTCTCATTTTCTTCTTTTTACGGATACGCATAATCACAATGCACTTTAATTCTCTCACATTAGATATATTTATTTAAATATCATGGAGTTAGCAGTGCACCAAGCGGCAAAAATATTTTTTTTTGCACGATATTATCATTCTAGACGACGAAATGTCGAGTTAAAGTTTCGTACTCTATATTATTTTTAGGCCTTTCGATAAAATGTGTCATATTTTGCCAATTATTTCTGGTGTACATTCTTTCTTTTTTTCTTTTTGTTGTTCAGGCATGTATATCGAACAAACTTTCATTCATATTTCAAAACAATAATCTCTCTCTTTTAATAACTCAGTGTTAATTACTTAAAATTTTATATTTTTTGCATTCGTTTAAAATCTTTCTTACTATATCTTCTCTTTTTTACGTACAGCTATTGTAATTATTACTAAATGTTTTGAAACACGAAATGTACATTTGCTGAGTATTATTATATATCCATTTTGTTCAACATGCCCCGTTCGTTTCTTTTATCTGTCCATTTTTCGTTTCGAAGTAGTAAAAAAGAAAATGCAAATTTTCTTTTTTTCTTTCTGTCTCTCTCCCTCTCTCTCTCTTTCTCTATCTGTTTTTCTCTGTAGTATAATTGTAATAATAGTATTAGTAGTATTAATACAATAATGCGCCTTGTGCGAAATGTATGCATTTGTTTACATATGCATGTAAATTCGGTGGAGCAAAAGAAATATTTTGCTTGTCACTTATAATTTATTTATTTATTTTTTTTATTTACGTATTCGTATCTGATAAAATGCGCGATATATCGAAAGTAGTACGAAAAAGCTTACGGTGGCAAGTATAGAGCGATACGAATGAAATTTCTACGAAGAGTTGAAAAATTCTCTTTTTCGAAATATCATCAAATGTGTGAGTGTGTGTGTGTGTTCGTGTACGTATGCATGTATATGTATGTACGTAGTGCAAGAAATTGATTTGGAAACATGACAAATCGTGAGGTAAGATTTAACGAAATTCTAACTGCGGCCAGTACTAAAATGTAAATGCCTAATTGAAATTCGTTTAAGCCATCAGCACTTCACGACTTTATTTTATTTTATTATATTTCTTTTTGGTTTAATTTCAAAATCAATTTCTTTTATTTTGTATGTGTCGATTCTCGATATCGACACAGCTATCACAATTAATTTTATCTTTAGCATAGAAAGGCCAAGGAGAAAGGATTTGTCATTAATATTTCTTTTTCCCCAATATAATTTTTTTAAGTGTTAATTATTTTTTTCAAGCACCTTCAATTAAACGATGAGATTTAAAGAGTCAATTATTTTTACTGTTTAACTGTTATCCTTTTAAAGTTTATCATTTTTATGTACCATTTGTTTAAAATTAAACGCTAAATTAGAATATCGAGTTGACAATGATTTATTTTAATTATACAAATCCAGTCTCCTTGATCTTTCGCCTCTAAGATTTTGATAGATTTTCTGGATCAACAGTGAGCTCAGAGATCATGAGCATAAACGATCCGTCAATTCTTTCGATATTCTGCGTTAATTCAATCTTACGATTCCTCTTACGAAAGTATCATACTTTCTGCCTATCTCTCTTTCTCTCTTTTTTTTCAATTTATACGTACATATTTCATCTACGTTAATATCATAATTTAAATAATCTTCGCGATAAGTTTTAGCATAGAGTTTCGATGTTTAATAAGGAAATTTGAGTTGGTGACGATCCTAAACAATCGCCAAAGTGACAGCACGATTTAGATTAAAATGTGAACGTTCGTATCGTATGAACGATTATTATTATTATTATTAATGTTAATATTATTATTATTATTATTATTACATACGCGAGCGGTAACTTCAAAGTTACACATATCTGCTTTTTTTGCTTAGCCACGTTATACGATTCGTCGTACGCTATACGTGTATTTATGTGTTTACGTGTAAGTGTATACGGTATATGTGCAGAATTTTTTTTTGGTTTAAGATAATATTAGTCACGATTTATTTTAATTCGATAACCATTTGTGTCTGTTTTCACTCTATTTCTCTTTCTTTCTCTCTTTCTTTTTTCTCATATGCGTTAATTCCTAGAAGTTCTTATTTTACTGACTTTTCCATACACCATATAAGGATTATATGATCGTAAGAGCAACGTAACTATGCGTACGTTCCCATAGGGAGAAGCGAATAAAATTGATGTCCAAGAACAAATACTTCCCTTCTTTCAAACCTGAAATATATCAGCGACCAATGAGCGAATTTCTCGTGTTCTTTTTTTTTTATTTTCCTTCCTTCTTTCATTCCTATGAGATGACTAACAGGTGCATCTCCAAGCGTCACCCTGTTGAGACGGTGATTGAGCTTTGATCACACTATCGGCACCTTCCCTTTCCGAAGCTTCGAACAAACTAGCCTGAAAATATCAATGAATTAGTAACTATTAGATTATAAATGAAAGAAAATATAAGATAAAAATGAAGAGAACTCACTCGACGTCCTCGTTGTTCTCGTATTCTCCTAGCTAAAGTTATAAATGCTTCTTCGATATTTATATCTTCCTTACAGGACACCTCGAAAAAAGGCATATCAAAATTTTCCGCTATTTTCTGACCTCTTTCAGCATCTACGGCTCTGTGTGCGGTGGCATCGCATTTATTAGCCGCTAATACTTTTACTACGTCCGGTGAGGCATTCTATAATGAAAAAGAAAATTAAAAAAAGATTCGTTATTAACTTGTTAATTGGAGTAGGTTAAGTTTACTCGTCACAAAGATTTATCTAAATTTTTTATTCTTATTAAAAAAAAAAAACATTATACTTCCAAATTAATATTATTTTATTTTGAAAATCGATTTTAATCGATTTCATATATCTACGTTGACACTAATCTGAAATCTTCCTCAGTTAAGGGGTGTAAAATAATTTTCTATGTTCAGCATAAAATTAATCAATGAAATTTTAATCAAATGATTTGAACTCTATGAAAGAAATGCAATATTCCTTTATTTGTCCTTACTTCCTGAATATTTCGAAGCCAATAAGACAGATGATTGAAACTGTCCATACTGGTGACATCGTACATCAGTAAGATACCCATGGCACCACGGTAATACGCTGTTGTTAGAGTTCTAAATCGTTCCTGTCCAGCGGTGTCCCTTTAAGAGAGAGATAGAGAAAGAAAGAAAGAAAAAAAGAAAAGGAAAGAAAAAACATTTTTATTAAAGCATATATTATTTATTTAATAGCAAATTTATCGCTGTCGTTCGATAGAAAACCGATAGCGTGTACGCGTGTTGGAAGTAAGTAGTAATGCCTCGTATATGTCAGACCAAATGTCGTCCAACCATACCGGTCCATTTCTACTTCTTCCGATAATAAAACTTCAACGATGCTATCTTCCTAACTTTTACGACTACCTATACGTACGATCTGTATTTTTATGCTGTCTTGTTTCTTTCTTTCTTTCATTTTTTTTTATTACTGTATGTGTATGCGTGTAACGCGCGTTTATGTATAATTTTTTGTTTTAAATGAATATTAGAATCAATCTCATAAATCGAGTTTACTTACCAAATTTGTAATTTGATTGGTGTACCGTCCAAGTTAATAATCTTCTGTTTGAAATCAATACCTGTGGAAAGTTTTTTTGCTTTCGTTATTTACAATTAATTTTAATAACAATCGCACGGTGTGTGTATGTGTGTGAACATAGAGATTATTGATTAAGCCAATCGATTGAAATATATCGAGAATTATTATATTTTTAAAAAAGACTCTTGTATTAAAGCGTGGAAAAGAAGTCTTACTGTCTCCAAGGATATACTATTACACCCAGAAACCTCTTTGGGACATCTCAAGCATAGGAGGAGTAGTCTCTTGAGAAATATGAGATTGCTTTAACAGGCGTAAGCGTAACAGCTGCGACTAGAACGAGGGTCGAATGACGAGATGACACTCAAAAGATAATCAGCTGATCGTTGGAAAAGTTCTATTCGTCGAATGGTTCGAATGAATGATCGTCGTTAAACGTGTTTTATTTTTTAATTTTAATATCTTGTATCTCTAAATGCAAAAAAATAATTAAATTGAAAAAAGAATAAGCCGGTATTTCTAGGATTAAAAAATGATCATAATAATAATGGAAAAAGAAAAAATAATAAAATTAACGTCTAATTCATATAACATTGCTTAGAAAGTTTTTCTAGGAAAAGTCTATGTAGACGTATAAGTATAGGAAGGAGAAATAGAAAAAAAATAATCAGGATTAGCCAGCCATAGTAGCGAATCCTTCGCTAAGGTCATGGTATTGACAGTAGCTAGGGATGATCGAAATATTGTCACTTATTTTTAAGATTATCACTAATGAATTTGATCAAAATGTTGATTAAATTGGAAACTGTGGTTTCCATTCACGTAGGAATCAACGAGAGGCACACTGGAGTCACTTGATAAATATAAAAAAAAAGGAATGAATAATCCAGGTGTTGGAACATATCGTGTTGCGAACGTTTGCGAATTCGATTATTTAGTATCCTCTCTCTTGTTTTCTCACCTATCGTCGATATATAAGTATCGTAGTATCTCTCGTCACAATAACGATGAACGATGCAAGTCTTGCCGACATTCGAATCCCCTAACACGAGGACTTTGTAGGTGGCTGCGAAATCAAGCGCCATGTTTACTGTCGAATCGCTTTTGAACTGTTGTTGGGTCGACAACAGAGTCGTCGGCCTAGGGGTTGTCCCATGAGCGTTCTTACTCAGAGGGGTTTAGAGGATCGATTCCGAGCCTGCGCGTCATTTCCTTCGCTTTCAAAAGAGACTTCACAATTTCTATCAACCTTACTTATCATGCGCGATACTACTCTATCTGTATGTGTTTGTGTTTTTTTTTTTATAGGCTTAGTCATCGTCTTTAATCCTTCAAAAACGAAGAGAACGAAGATTGCACTACCTTGGGTAGTAGTAGTAGTACTACTGTCGTACATGCACGAAAATGATGTGTATCAATTTTTATGAGTCCCAAATCGATGCTCTTAGAAGCTTACCGATGATCAAGAGCTTGTATTTAAAATTTTAAGACTCTGATGAACTCGATAGATCATAATACTTTGAAGTATTTAATAGTTGAAGTTTCATGCACAAATAAAATTGTTTGTTTTTGTTTTAATTTAGATATATAATTCGTAAGAAATAATAAAATAAATTTAATGAAATGATTTATGTACCTACATCAAATTGATTTATTATCAAAGAATTTTTAGGCGAAAAATCATGATCTTCTTTCAAGTATATTCTTACATGAAACTAGGGTAACTTTTACGTGACCTCACTAATTATATTCACAAGACCCTAGGTCAAGTTTTCTCTCCGGATGATCAAGTAAGATCGCACGAGTTCAATCATTTTATTTATTTAGTTTTTTTTAATCGTATTTTTATTTAGTGTAACTAAAATTCCTCTATCGATCTATGATCTAATCTAATACGGATAAAACAAATTAAACATTGTTTTTTTTTTTTTCTTTTATTTGATCTTTGAACGTCTATTGTTGTAAATCAAACATCTATAAAAAGTAAGCAATATAAATATTACACAACATTGTGTATAGTTTCGTAAGATTTTTGATACGTTTAATGTTGTTATATAAAAAATTGCTAATATTATAAATCAATACCTTTTCATATATATCAAAAAATACTTTTTTTTAGGATGCTTTTATATATAACAATAATAAT